TCAACACTCTTGGCACCAGCAGTCAGGAAATAAAAAAACGTATCACGATGGGAAAGTCTGCTGTTAGGGACCTCTCTCTAAAGTACTCAGAGATAAACTTAGGTCCTGTTATTACTTTTAGGTGCCATCAAGTTGAGTATGACTCATAGCAACTGTATAAACATCAGATCTGGATCCCATCCTATCCTGTTACACTTTCATCATCTCTGACACACTTGAGTCCATTGCTTCAGTAACTTATCAATTCATCTCATTGAAGTTCTTCCTATCCTTCACTGACCCTCCACTTTTCCAAACAACCGCTGTCTTTTTCCAAAAAAGGTCATATTAGAATATAGGTTGTATTGAGAAAAAGAAAAAAACAACAACAAGCAACAAAATTGCCATTGAATCAGAATAAAATCATAGTTGACCCTCCAGTGGTTTTCAAGGTTGTAAATTGCATTGGAGGAGATTGCCTATCTTTCTCCCACAAAGCTACTGTTGGATTTCAACAGCCAGAGAAGCACAGCCTTTAAGTTAACCATACAATTCCCTCCAGATTATGCCCACAATGTCAACAATCTGGATCTTTGGAAATAACTACTTGAAAATTTCTCCACAGTCATCCCACTCTTTGGTAATATGTCGATCTAACCTTGGTCTAATGAAGCAGTGATGAGAGTCACAGTATTCAGGAAATTCTTTACCTCCTCACCAAAAGGAAAAATGGGAGCTGAGGAAAAAGTATTATTTCTATTGGTGGTGTAGGTTGCCAGGAACCTTGGTAGTTAATCTCAGCTAGTAACCAAAAGTCATCAGGTCAAACCACCAGCTTCTCCATGGGAAAAATGTGAGTCTGCTTCTGCAAAGATTACACTCTTAGAAACACTGTTGGGTTGTTCTATCCCGTCCTTTAGGGTCACTTTGACTTTACTGAAGATTCTAACATTCAATTACCTTTAAAGTGATATGATTAATTTTATATTAATAGACAGGATTTTAAAAAAATTTTTCACTTATTAGGGAAGATGTGGCAATATTCAAATGAAAAAGAGTGATTGTACCTAACTTAACATTATGCTTTTTCTGTTAGCAAACTTCGAAAAGATTATCCTTCCAAGATCCTGGTCAACCTGTGCACAGCACTACTGATGCTAAACATGGCTTTCCTGGTCAATTCCTGGTCAGCGTCATTTCAGAAAGAGGAACTCTGTATCACAGCTGCAGTTGCTCTTCACTACTTCCTCCTCGTTTCATTAACATGGATGGGTCTGGAGGCGGTTCACATGTATTTTGCTCTAATCAAAGTCTTTAACATATACATCCCAAACTACATCTTTAAATTTTGTCTAGCTGGTTGGGGTAAGTAAATCTACCATTGCCCTCAATGTCTCAGATTTAAGCCTATATAGCTTTCTAATTCTCAATCTTTCAAATAGACTATGTAGGGGCAAATTCTATTATTA